CTTGATTCCTCACTGACAAAAGAAGGTGCCTGATTGGAATATGAAGCCTTACACCCTAAACCCTAAACCCTCAACCCTAATTAATAACCCTAAACCCCAAAACCCTCAACCCTAATCGAGAACCCTGAACCCTTGATTCTCAACCTCAATCAACAACCCTAAAACCGCATCCCAAATTAACAGCCCTGAACCCTAAACCCTCAACCCAAATTTATGACCCTAAGCCCTCAACCCTAACTAATCGCCCTAAACCCTAAACCCTCAACCCCTAAACCGCAGGACTTCGAACTGTCGAGCTGAAAATACTGCATGATCTCGCCCTCCTCGCCCGCGTCCCATCCCTGGTGGCCTTCCTTGGTAGCCTAGGAACCATGTTAGGTTTGGGGTTTGGGGTTTGGGGTTTGGGGTTCGGGGTTTGGGGTTTGGGGTTTGGGGTTTGGGGTTTCGGGTTTAGGGTTTAGAGTTATTAATGGCGACCAAGCCTCCAGGAGGGGGTCCGGGCCGTAGAACCGCAGCATGACGAGGCGGGAGTACCTTACACGGACCAAATGCTTTCTTTTAGGGTTTGGGGTTCAGGGTTTAGGGTCATATATCCCCTAAACTACTGTAATCCCGTTAAAGGTAGATGAACCATAAACCCTTTTTATGGTGCAACTCTGTAAAACTACAATCCACAGCCAGAAACCCATGGTTCATTTGTCCACCAAGGTACGTGGGAGGCGCGTACCCCCGGGCGATGCAGATCGGGCGCTTGTGGCGCTCCACCAGGCGAGGCAGATAAGTCTCCTTGTGGGGGCCCCACGCAATGCCCTTCACAAAAAAATCCAGCTCGGCGTCGGTGAGGTAGTAGGGCAGGTCACGGGCGTGCGGCCTTTGGATGATTTCGAAGATGGCCTTCTGCTTCAGGTTGATATTCTGCCAGACTGGCATGGCCCCAGCAGGGCTCACAGAGTGGATGCGCTTTCCACATAGACTGCTACCGACCGCCCTTTGAGCCACGGATTGCGGCATGATCTGCTTCATAAGAATACTGGGAAAGACCATACTTCTAAACCCTGAACCCTAACCATCCCAATGCACATCCGTCAGGGGTCCCCCCTAAACTCCTTCAAGCTCCCCCTTCGAATGCAGGCTGCCTCAGTTTTAGGGGAGCTAGGGGGGGCGGGGGGGGAACTCTAAACCCCAAACTAAACCCTACTTGAAGGTTCATGGTACTTAATAACCAGTTATATCTGTACTTATAACTGTACTTATAAGCCCCTTAAGTGCCCTAATATAGTTATAACTTGGGTTATAAGTACAATTATAATTGGTTAATAAGTACCATGAACCTTCAAGTATCCCCTAAACCCCTTACATCCAGGCCTCTGGCACAAACCCCTAAACCCCTAAACCCTAGACTATTAACTCCTAAAACCTAAACCCTAAACCCTCAGACTACCCATTTAGGGGTTCCTAACTCCTAAACCTTGGGAGGGCCGGAGCTCGACCTCGTCCAAGACCTCCTCCGCCAACTTTCGGCGGGATGCGGCCTCTCCGTGCATGTGGAACGGACCCTGTGTGCCCTGGGCCTTTAGGGTTTAGGGTTTAGGGTTTAGGGTTTAGGGTTTAGGGTTTAGGGTTTAGGGTTTAGGGTTTAGGGTTTAGAGCTAGATACCCTAAGGCCTTAAGGACTCCCATTTTAGGGTTTTTCGGCCCAAAGGCCTTTGTATTGAAGGTTTTTGGGCTGTTTTGAGCCTAAGGGATACTGTAGAACCCCAATTAGAACTGCGCTGATGAGCCCGCTAAGTCCTCGAAGTAGGTCAAAACTAGACGTATACTTGGGGTTATGAGCAATGAACCTGCAAGTACCTTACGAACCCCAAAGCCTACTTTGTTTTGCAGGCAACCTGTGAGCCTAAACCCTAAACCCTAAACCCTAAACCCTAAACCCTAAACCCTAAACCCTAAACCCTAAACCCTAAACCCTAAACCCTAAACCCTAAACCCTAAACCGGGACATGTGCTCATAAGCTCCAAAACATGTGGGTTTTGGGGGTTCTGGAGGTAGACCAACACTTGAAGTTCCTTGCGCGGCTACTACTACTTGCTGAAGAACCCCAACAAATTGTAACAAAAAAAAAAAATATATATATATATATATATATAATATCTTCATTCATATTGAAATATTTAAGGGCAATATAGGGATGATTAGTCCATTCATTTGTTTTTTTTTGGGGGGGAAGTAGTAGGCTAAGGTTATCGAAAGGAACTACATGTGAGAGGCTGGCTACAACCCTCAGCCGGTGCTGCTCCTATCAGACAGGCTGCCTAAACCCTAAACCCTAAACCCAACCCCTGAACCCTAAACCTCAAACCCTAAACCCTAAACCCTAAACGTGTGTTTTTAGCTTTGAGGGTTCAAGGGAGGGGGTTCTGAGGTCTCGGAGTCCAAACGTTCATACCTATAGCCTGGGCCTACTGACCCCATACTCCCAACCACAAAAAAACACTTATAAACCCTACGAGCCCTGCATAGGACACCATGATCCTATGAGCCTCAAGTATAAGCCCCCAAGTCTACTCAATGCTTAAGAAAGCCCTTAAAGACCAAAAAAAAAACATGTTCTTCCTGACCAGGGTTAAATATGGGATTGCTATCGACCCTGTGTTGTTGTTGAGGTTTAGGCACGTAGATATAAGGGTAAATTAGGGATTGCTATCTCTGCTGGGGTTCTTCGGCAAGTAGTAGAGGTGTGCAAGGACTTTCAGCTGGCTTGCCTCGTGTGCCCGGCGAGGGAAGCGCCGCCTCAGTATCAAGTCATGCTTCCTGACCTCTGTTGGGACATATGGCGGCTTACGAACACGTGGGACTCCCCAATATAGATCCCTAAATAGTAGGATTGCCTGATATTCAGGACCCTAAGGCACCCCTATTTTTTTTGGGGGGGGGAGGGGGGGTTCTTCTCAACTACCGTTTCTGTTAGCTGAGCTCCGTGGTGTCGGGTTGAGCCGGAGGCACTCGCCAAGCGCTGCACGAAGGGCTTTGGCCGTCCACTTGCAGCGCGCGCAGGTGTATTCGTCCTCCGGGTAAGGAGGGTACAGGAGCCTATAGTTGAACCTCTCAAGTCCCAAAGAGCCCAATACCCCTTCAGAAAGGAATATGGCAACCCTAAACCCTAAACCCTACACCCTAAACCCTAAAGCGGAACATGCCTTAAAATCAGATAAAAAAGGTGCGGCCCAGGCGAGGCTGTTTTCGAAATGCACCCTCAGCCCGCCTCGATTAGGGTTTTAGAGTTTAGGGTTTGGGGTCGATACCAGCCGTGCACACCCTAAACCCGAAAGCCCACCCCTCCTGAAAGGTCCGCAAGACGTTCAGCACACCACCACATAGGTTTGCCTGGAGGTTGACCTAAACCTTTGAACGAGTGGGGACACAACCACCCATGACGCACGTTGAGGTGTGAATCCGGCATATCTACCTTGTTTAAACACTTCCAATTTCTGAGCTGCTCGGCACTACCTGCCTGCGATCAGAGTCTGATCTCGTAAGCCCCAGCAGTTAACCAACCGTAAACCCTAAGCCCTAAAGCTCAACCGTAAACCCTAAAAACCCACAAGCCTGTCCTCCAGTACGTTGCTGATGGTGAGAAGCGGCTTCGTCGGGGTCTTAGCAAGACAACCTCTCATGTCAGGCGCGGAGGCTTGGGACTTACAAGTACTTTTTCACCCCAATGATAACTGCACTTATATGCTGCCTAAGTCCTCAAAGTAGGTTATAAGTAGACCTTTGCTTGTTTTTGTAGGTACCCATATACACCTCCAACTGACCTCGACCCCTATTCCCCCTTATGAATCATGCGGGTATTCTCCAACGAAGGCTCAGGAAGCGCACTTTGCAATGTCGCTTTCTCTCTGTAACACATATGAGCATACAAGCCAAACAATATACACAACATGACATAATCATAAACATGAACATAAACATAAACATAACATTACATGCATTACATACATATGTGTATGTAAGTATAGAATGCACGCATACTAGAGGTCGTAGACTGTAGGTTGGAAGAGGCAGCCGTGTTCAAAGCATCCACTGCGCTTCGAGATGCAAGCCCAAGACATCCATCCCTAAACCATCTAGGGTTTAGGGTTTAGGGTTTAGGGCTTAGGGCTTAGGGTTTTTCAGGTTTTTTTAGGGTTTCTTAGGGTTTAGGGTTTAGGGTATAATGGCTGCCGGGCTGCTTCCGTGGAGGAGCACCGCCGCTGCCACAGATGCTCGTGTCATGGTGGCATGGTCCCAAAGGGTCCTAAGTACCTACATAGTGCAAAGTAGGGGTTTCTATAATAGGAATGACTAGTATGGTTAAGGTGAGTGTCCCCCATATAGGTACTTAGGATTCTTTGGGGGTGTCACCCAACACGCATCATCATTTTTTCCGGACATCCAAAATTTCGGGCCTTGGATGGGAGATCATGGGGGACTCTTGTAGACGATGGAGAAGCCTTCTACCAAGAATGGCATGGTCTTCTGTGCACTTTTGGAAGCGCCATGTGCTGAACTAACAGACATGCGAAAGCCGGCGTCCGACGTCTCATGCATGACGGCAGCTCTAGCATGTCGATTCCTCTGCCTGTGTCGAGACAACTCGAGCACACCTTCAACCTTTGCCTGAGCCGTCGAAACATTCGAACCTTGAACTCCGGACACCTACTAGACCCTACGGGTCCATGTACCTACATAGTATATACTTGGGACCTAAAGCTACTATATATATATATATAAACCCCTTTAAGGCCCAAGTAGATACTAATTATATAGATACGTGGACCCTTACGGAAATGTCCCAAAGCAAACCCCTAAAACCCGAAACCCTCAAACCTAGACCCCTAAGGAGCCCACAAGCCCCAGACTGATCCTTGAAGATCCATCCCTAAACCCTAAACCCTAAACCCTAAACCCTAAACCCCAAACCCTAAACCATAGGGTCCATCTCTTCAGGCCCCCCGACGCGGGGACCCGGCAGGAGCATCATGGAGCCTTCGGCCAGTCACAGCCTATCGTAAGCTACACGCCCTGATATGTGCTGTATTCCTTATAGGGTTTAGGGTTTATAGGATTTATAGGATGAATTGAAGCATTGCACATCTATAGGTATATGTATATAGGTATGGGGGGGGTCAGTCTCTAAGTATGCCCCCAAGCAGAGGACAGGCTTGTGGTGTGAGGTTTCGGGTTCAAGTATATTCAAGATAGGCATATGGACCCTCAGAGTACCTTAGGCTCATATTTCCCCCTACCCTAAACCCCTGTGAGCCCCGAAACCCTAAGCCCTACACACCAAACCCTAAACCCTAAACCCTAACCCTAAACCCTAAACCCTAAACCCTAAACCCTAAACCCTAAACCCTAAACCCTAAACCCTAAACCCCAAACCCAACAAGGGCCTACTCTGGATCCTGGTGCGCAACGCAGCGAAAGGTTGCGGGGTTCTCTTGGGGCATGGCCGCTGGAATAGGGCCAGGACAGCAGGCCACTGCTTCTGCCTGGCTGGGTGCAGGGTTTAGGGTTTAGGGTTTAGGGTTTAGGGTTTAGGGTTTAGGGTTTAGGGGTTTAGGGGTTTAGGGGTTTAGGGGTTTAGGGGTTGAGGGGTTTAGGGGTTTAGGGGTTTAGGGGTTTAGGGGTTTAGGGGTTTAGGGGTTTAGGGGTTTAGGGGTTTAGGGGTTTAGGGGTTTAGGGGTTTAGGGGTTTAGGGGTTTAGGGGTTTAGGGGTTTAGGGGTTTAGGGGTTTAGGGGTTTAGGGGTTTAGGGGTTTAGGGGTTTAGGGGTTTAGGGGTTTAGGGGTTTAGGGGTTTAGGGGTTTAGGGGTTTAGGGGTTTAGGGGTTTAGGGGTTTAGGGGTTTAGGGGTTTAGGGGTTTAGGGGTTTAGGGGTTTAGGGGTTTAGGGGTTTAGGGGTTTAGGGGTTTAGGGGTTTAGGGGTTTAGGGGTTTAGGAATCCAAAAGGGACCATAATTTTGACAACCACCCATGTTGGTCCACGACCAGCCATGATATCCTGAGTTGGTGTTCTTGTCACAGTCGTCCTCAGGTCTTCCTTCACAGTCAGGCCAACTGTTGTCATGAAGGGCCCATGTCCGTCCTTACAAAGCACAATTGGGAGGTGAAGTCATGGGTATCTGTGAAGGCGCGAAGTATCCCAAAGTGGATCAGACTTCTTTTGTCCTTCTCATTCTTCACTTAGTTGCTGAGTTCCGAAGCCCCCCAAAAAAGTGCACACTTTCAGTTCTATAGGGGAATTCTCGTATCCCAAGAAGTGCACAAAGTGTGCCCACTCAGCTACTTGGTTCATATTCTGCTTCTTCTTGGCCCGACGCAGACTGCTGTCTGCCCACCACTTGTGCTACATAACCCTGGCCCCCATCACTTCCCAGATCTTCCAAAACCCCTTAACTAGGGAATATACCCTAATTCAGAAGAAGGATCCTTAGTAAGCCAAATCTTCCAAAACCCCTTAATTAAGGAATATACCCTAATTCAGAAGAAGGATCCTTAGTATAAACTAGCTAGGGGTATATTCCTGAATTTCAAGGGTTTTGGAAGATCTAGGTTCGAACCCCACTTAGGGCCCTTACGACTCCGTCGATGGGGCCCCGGATGCCTCAACTCAGGGCTTCGGGTTTCTTGGTAGCCCAGGAACCATGTTACCGTAAGGGTGCTGTTTTTTTTTTGGGGGGGGGGTTGGCTACTGCATAAGGGAACCACTGGACCCCAAAAAATTGAAAGGGGCACCGCTGGGCTGCTAAGGTTTAGGGGTTTGCAGGGTTTACGGTTTACACGCTAAACCCTAAACCCTAAACCCTAAACCCTAAACCCTAAACCCTAAACACTAAGCCCTAAACCCTAAATCCCAAGCGCCCCCGACCTCATCGCACCGGCCATGGTGTCGTTGAACATCATCTCAGAGTTGGGACAATAATCAGCCCCAGGGAGGATTTAGGGCTTAAAGTTAGGGTTTAGGGTTTAGCCCTAAGGGTCCATGCACCTCATTCTTACATGGGGGGTTTCCGAAATGCGGGGGTTACCTTATTGGGGTCCTTAATATATGGGAGTCCGACTACTTGGGGTCTGTTTAAGGGGTCCTCTATTTCTGTAAGCCCCCTATACTTGGGCCCACAAGTCCCTAAATAGGAGGGAGGCTTTAAGGCCCAAGGCTAGATACCCCAGCAACAATATCTGTCTACGGGGGCACCCTGGGATGGTCCCCCTTATACTAACAGTCCGTTTAGGGTTTAGGGTTTAGGGTTTAGGGTTTAGGGTTTAGGGTGATTTCAATTGATTATAATACTTAGCAGCTCCGTAGCCATATTATAATCAGGGCACCCTTTTTTGGGTTGGTTACTTTATAAGGGAACCCAGAACCAAAAAAAGGGAAAAGGGTCCCACTGGGCTACCAGGAATACCCCCCCATTATGATCCCTACTCAGGACTGTGAGTAGAAGTGGGAACATCCCAAAAGGGCACCCCCTTGTTTGGGGTTGGTTACCTTAAATAGGGGAACCCAGAACCAAAAAAACAAAGGTGAGGGGTATCACTCGGCATCGGCTTCGTGGCAACTGAGGGGTAGGACAGGGGGCGGTTTAACATGGGGGGTTAGGGGTTAAGGATTCAGGGCTTAGGGCACCGCGCACAGCAGAAAACACCAAGGCAATATGCTCTGTCTCATCAATCACACTACCCTAAGGGTCCATGTATCTATAAAGTATATACTTGGGCCCTAAAGCTACTATATAGGGACCCGTTTAAGGCCCAAGTAGAAATGGTACATGGCCCCTTTGGGCTAAACAGCAAAAGGCAATTTGCCGTCACACGCTCTTCCCAGTAAGCTCGGCGCTGTGTCTGCCACAGGCGGGCTGATGTCAGTGTGGTTGCTCCTTGGCGCAGGCTCCTTGACTTCAGATTCTGCTCCTTTTGCTTGAATTCCGGCCTCCCCCCCCAAAAAAAAAAGTTTGGGGGGGTCGCCGCGCCATGCGTTTGTAGAGGGTCCAAATTTGTTTGGGGCCGGAGGGGGGGGGGCCATTAAAGCCAGTGCAACATTATTAAGGACTGATAGTATAAGGGGAACATCCCAATCTACAACTTGGAGCCTGAGGCCGTGGCTTTGAGCCTGCGGCTTCCTGTGCGGGGAACCGACACGCAAGTGGGCACCGCGAAGGGGTGTTGCCTCCTCATGTGGGCCCCTAAACCCTAAACCCTAAACCCTAAACCCTAAACCCTAGGCTTGAGGGTTTAGGGGTTCTAGCCGGGTGGGAGGCCTAAATGATGCCCCCCTTTGCCTAAGGCTCGAAAATAAGCCCCAAGTAGGTGCTACTTGCAGACTTTAGACCCCGATGTAGGTAATTATCTGTATACTTGAAGCCCAAGGGGTTTGGGGACATCAGGGGATTTCAAGGATTGTAAAAAAGCCACTACGGCCCGGCAGCCCTTGTGTCTTTTACAGGCCGAGCTGACGTGCTTGAAAGCATGCCTGACAGACTGCCTGGGAAAAAAGAGAGATTGAGAACCCTTTTTTAAAGAAGCCCTTAAACCCTAAACCCTAAACCCTAAACCCTAAATCCTAAATCCTAAATCCTAAATCCTAGACCTTACTCATCCCTGTTCCCCTGACACGGAGCCTCCAGCAGCGCAAGCGACACTGGCCAAGCCTTACCTGGTCAAAGAGGGCTTCGAAATTTCATTTGTCCAAGCCGCTTCTTTTTTCACCCTGGACCCAGGCCCTGAAAACCAAACCCCAAACCCTGGAACTGGACTGTAATCGACTCCCCCAAACCCTAAAGCCTAAACCCTAAACCCTAATTCAAGGCCCCAAAAACCTAAACCGGTCCTACCTGTTTCAGCTCTCTGCTAAATTGGAAAAGCTGAGTCCGGGTTCTTGGGTCTATGAAGGCAGCCCACAGAGCCCAATACTGCTTAATCAGGGAATATTGTTTAATTTATACAGGGATCCTCAATATGATTCAAGCTATATTCCTGAAATAAGGTGTATTGGGCTCTATCGGGGGTTCGTGGGCTGACAGGGTGTAGGAACATTGAGGTGTCCTTTTGTGGTCGTTTCTTTAATTAGGACTCCTTCAAGAAAGGAGGGCCCCCAGAACAAGGTGTCCCTGTGCGGTACCCTTATTTTGTAGTATAGGACTCCTCCTATAAAAAAGCCCAAGGAAGGAGCCCCCTCTTCACAAAAAAATCCAGGCCCCCCAGCCCGCCGCGCAGGCGCTGATCAGCGCTCCCCATGCCCTTTGGTCAGGCCTCAGCTGCTGGGCCGATGTTTTTGGGCCTTAGGGGTTAGGGTCGGTCTTGGGGCGTCATAAGCAGCGCGGTTTTGATGGCCTAGGTTGGGCACTTTGCTTGTGCACAGTGCCCTCCGTGCATATGGCCAGGGCCTTCAAAACCCAAACGACACCGCCTGGACACCAGGAAATTGGGCTAAGGAGCCGTGGGGGTATGTAAACACTCTGGCAAGCAGGGTTGCCGACTTCCCACGGGCTGGGGTCATGACATCTCCTTCATGCCTTGCATGGCGGCAAGAAATGACACTGCCTGGCCGATTGGAAGGGATCATCATTATCATCATCATCATCATCATCAGCATGCATGCATACATACATACATGCAAGCATGCATACATACACACATAAATAGAGTACCCTAAACTAAACCCTAAACCCTAAACCCTGAACCCGAAACCCTAATCCGATATAGCTCCTGCACACCGGACCCTGCTGAGGGCCTCCTGCCAGGCTCCAGCCTTCTTCCTCGCCGCGGGGCGTCTTGAAAACAGCATCCCATTGAAACTGAAAGCCTTGGTAAACGCCCTAGTTTAGGGTTTAGGGTTTTGGGTCTAGGGTTTGGGGTTTAGGGTTGAGAACCCAAAAACATGTGTGATTCCTTGTTGGTTTCCTCTGATTCCGAAAAAATGTTTTCGCCATCACAACCTACAAGAGTCTACATTAAGGGAGGCGTCTAAAATAGGTTTGCACAACACAGAGCCGAACAGAACCGAACAAAAAGAAAATAACACAATACCATAGAAGAATGCTAAAGCCCTCCTGACACCTCGCCCTACTGAGATCCCCTAACCTAAGGCCTTGAAACTGTGCAACGCAAGAATCCCGAGGCACCCCGGTCCTGCAGGCCAGCGCCAATCGACTGAGCTCTTTGCTCGGACTGGCCTCATAGAATAGAGCCAAACAAATCTTCCAAAACCCCTTAATTAAGGAATATACCCTAATTCAAGAAAATGATCCTTAGTATCAATTAAGGTATATACCTTAATTAAGTCTTTGGAAGATTTGGGGCGCCAAGGGGAGCGCAGGGAGTGAATTCGGACACCTACTTGGAGGTTCATGGTACTTAGTAACCATGTATAACTGTACTTATCACCCAAATTATAACTCTATTAGGGTTCTTAAGGGGCTTATAAGTACAGTTATAAGTACAGTTATAATTGGTTAATAAGTGCCATGAACCTTCAAGTACTTGGGGTATTTCATTTTTTAGAAATTGTGAAAGTGCTCGGATCCTTGGGGTAACTCCCAGATGGATGCAAGAACTGCTGGGGTTTAGGGTTTGGAGTTCCCTAAACCCTAAACCCTAAACCCTAAACCCTAAACCCTAAACCCTAAACCCTAAACCCTAAACCCTAAACCCTAAACCGTTCGGGGTAAAGGGCTTATAGGGGGAAGTTTAGGCCCTGGAGGGGCCAACTATTGAGGAATACGACCTAATAGGACCTATCGCTAAGGGACTCACATACCCTATGCTTTCTGTCCCATTTTGGGGGGCCCTTGCATCTGAAATAGGGTCCCCTTTTGGGCACCCGAATAAATACTAGAGGCCGCCATACAAAGAATTACCTCCAAACGATGCCCCGAATTTTGGAGAAGTGACCAGGTGTTTTCTGTCTGCCACAAAAAACTGGAGGCCTCCAATCAGGGTTTAGGGTTTAGTGTTTAGGGTTTAGGGCTTTGCAGACAAGGGTTTGAGGATGGTGCGCCTCTAACCGCCCTAACCTGCTGGATGCCATGTGAACTTGCTACAGCTGCTCTCATGAGGACATGAATGGTCTTGGGCCTTAATCCTGGCGTGAGGGTCTAGGGTTTAGGCCTGACTTTCGTGAAATGTCCCTGCCATCTTTGCAACGAGGATGAAAAGCTCCGTTCCTGAAGTCTTCAGCTGAACCCACCCCCCTCCACAAACAAGGGCTCAGGCGGCCTAGGTACCTTATAGGGAAATCCTGGGCCTGACCGCAGTTGTCAGATACCAAACCCTTAACCGGTTTGGGTTTTAGGGTTGTTTGTGCCACCAGCCCGGGTTTAGGGGTTTAGGGTTTAAATCCCCTAAACCCCACCTACTATATGGGCGCATGGATCCTCTGGGTTCTACATCCTAAACCCTAAACCCTAAACCCTAAACCCTCAACCCTATCATGGATCCTCTCAAGTGTGTCGGAGTTGTCTGGCCCCGGACCCACATCGCGAGAGATGCAGCAAGGCCATTCCGCGCGCTGAATCGGCTTCAGCTTTATTTAGGGCTCCTGTGTGCTTTAGGGTTTAGGGTTTAGGGTTTAGGGTTTAGGGCTCCTGTGTGCTGAGTGTCTTAGGGGCTCGAGCAAAGGCCTCCTGTGTGTCGGATCAGGGTTTCGAGCTTAGTTTCCCCAAAGTGGTGGAATCCGAACCCTCCATGTTTAAGCCCTAACATTTCAAAGACGAAACATCACCAAACGATGTTAGGACTGGTGGCTCCAGGAGTTCATGACATGTCTTTCTCCAAGGTCCAGTGGCCTGTGACCTTACGGTTCACGTTATAACTGTACTTATAGGCCCCCTAAGTCCTCCAAGCAGGTTACAAGCAAACTTTTCATTGAGGCTATAAGCACCCATGAACCTCTAAGTAGGGTTTAGGACTTGGAATGCCAACAGCTCCTTGAGCTACATGCCGCGCGCATGCGTGTCTCGTCTTGAGGTACGGATGGCCTAGCTTGGTAGAACTCAGACGTTTTTGACACGTAAACCCTAAACCCTAAGCCCTATCAACCATAAGCGCATAGCTGAAATCCGCAGGGACAAGGCGAGAGAAGATTTCTTGGGGGCAATTGTACAAGAAATTGGGCAGCCAGTCATGCATTGTTCTAAGGGAAGTTACATGGCCGCTTTACTATGGTCCCTTACCTCCTTTAACCAAGGGGAAAAAGTTAAACTTTATTGTTCCTGCTACAGAAGGAAACCCAAAAAGTCTAAAGTTGAATTCTTGGCCAAGTAAGATAAAGGGGTGTAACAAGGGGTCCCCGTTTAAGGACCCATATTAAGGGACCATGTAACTACCCTTGGACTTGTGCTTCCAAACGGTGCTGCCTGCAAGTGCCCATATATACCAGGGCATTTTTGCCACCCAGGGTTTAGGGTTTAGGGTTACTAAGGGTCCACTTGGGGTATGATTCGAATCTTAGGGGTTAGGGTTCAGCGTAAGGGTCCATGCACGACATTGCTATCGACTTGGGCCCCCAAAGTTCCTAAAGCACTTCATGAGGTCCAAGTTTTCCCTGTTTAGGTACATGGACCCTTCGGATGCCTGACTTGGGCTTCCTGGCTACCATTGTGCAAGTTGGGGAGCTGCAGGTTTCATTTAGAGTGCTGCAAGGGTTTAGGGTTTAGGGTTTAGGGCTTGGCGGGTTTAAACTTTGAGGGTTTGGATCGAGCTGCTGCCAGAACCCTGGTGGACTCACCGAGCAATGAGAATTCCCTTTAAGACGAACACCCCCCCGAACCCGCCCCCCCCCCCACCCCCCCTAGCATTCGACACCTTATTTATGGCATACTCTTGTGATTTTGGGTTTTTTGGGATATTTATTATGAGATATTAGCAATGATAGGATGGCTAGAAGATGTTCAAGAAAGCTTTCGAAGCCATGGATTCAACCTGAAAGTCAAGGTGCCGCGAAGATCCCCCTAAACCCTAAACCCCTAACCCCTAAACCCTAAACCTCCAAACCCCCAAACCCCCAAACCCCTAAACCCCTAAACCCCTAAACCCCTAAACCCCTAAACCCTAAACCCTAAACCCCTAAACCCTAAACCCCTAAACCCTAAACCCCTAAACCCTAAACCCTAAACCCCCGGCTCGACAAAGCCAACCCGGGCCAACCCCCTGAAGACCTTTGAAGCCCACGTGGAGACCTGCAGCTTTTTACCCTCTATGCGGGGTTCGGGGTTTAGGGTTTAGGGTTTGTCTCTTGAGATCCCTAAGAGATTCTCCTCCGCATCCCTTTTCGCTGTCACGGGTCACGTTGCGCTGTGGGGGATCCGCCTGGTCGGGCAGAGAGAATCCGGGTGTCTCCCTTGTGGATCTTCACGTGAAGCTCCCTGGAGTCCTTTTATAGGGTTTTTAGGGTTCAGGGTTTAGGGTTATGTAACCCAAGGTTCCCTCATACTCCCCACTACTCCCTAACACTCCCTAAGCTTCCCTAAGGTTGCTCAGGCACCTACCCCCTTAAGAACCCTGTAAGTCCTTGTCGGCATCGCTGGGGTTCGCAAGGAAACAGCCAGTGAGGATTCGAACTGCTTTCTCCGCGCTGGCCGCGCTTTCAAACTGGCAGAGGCCCTGCCCTCTGGACCGTCCATCCTTCAGCAAGAAGAGGCGGAGGCCCTTCACAGGGCCAGCGCGTTGAAAGAGCGGGAGCAAGTCCTCCTCCTTCACTTCGAAGGGCACGTTGTGGAAATACACGCAAGAAGTCTCCTCGGCCTCCAGCTCAGATTCTGCCGACCCCGGCCCTTCCACCTTCGTCTCCTGCGTGCTTGCGTCCACAGGACCAAGGAAGACCCGTCGACGCTGCCCGCGCGCCGGCGACCCCTTCCGAGAGTCTCGGCTTCGTAAGACCACCTAGGCTGCCCAGCAATCTAGGATTAATCAGGGAACCCTAAACCCTAAACCCTAAACTCCAAACCCTAAACCCTAACCCCCCCCCCCCCCCCCCCCGCAAAAAAACAAAAAAAACAAAAGGGAATAAGGGCACCCGAGCCACTGAGCTGCCACCTTCCCGGGGCTTCAGCGCCACCCTGGGCTCCAAGCGTGCCTTCCCGCGCGTCTGCGAGAAGACTGTGAGGGGCCGCTTCATGACATATGCAAAATCTGAGGGTTTAGGGTTTAGGGTTTAGGATTTATTTAGGGTTTAGGGTTTAGGGGTGTAGCGCTTAACATGCGACATGAAAAACAGATGGTCGATCACAATGTAGCTTATACGCTCGATCTCATTCATAAGAGTTACATGTGTACATACATGTGTACATACATACATACACACAGACACACACACACACACATACATACATACATACATACATACATACATACATACATACATACATACATACATACATACATGCATACATACATACATACATACATACATAACATACATAACATACATAACATACATAACATACATAACATACATAACATACATAACATACATAACATACATAACATACATAGCATACATAACATACATACATACATACATACATACATACATACATACATACATACATACATACATACATACATACATACATACATACATACATACATACATACAGACATACATACATACATACATACATACATACATACATACATACATACATACATACATACATACATACATACATACATACATACATACATACATTACATACATTACATACATTACATACATTACATACATTACATACATTACATACATTACATACATTACATACATTACATACATTACATACATTACATACATTACATACATAACATACATAACATACATACATACATACATACATACATACATACATACATACATACATACATACATACATACATACATACATACATACATATAGTTCGGAAATATTTGTAAATTCGTTCGACATGTACAAAACTTGTTGTTTACGGATAAGTAAGCTACTATATAGCTATATATTTGGATAATATATAATAAGAGGCCGGGGCGCAGTATTTGTGTAGCTGCTGCCTAAGTCTTTATGTGAAGGTCCCTGTTCCAACTGCAAGATCTGGGTGATCGGAACAAGTGGTGGCACCGCAGAACTGAAAAAAAAAAACACTCCACCCTAAAACCCTAGACCCTAAACCCTACTTACTTTAAACCCTACTTACTCTAAACCCTAAAGGACGTATTTGCATCAAACAGGAGCTGTGATAACAAGAGATTTAAACTCTACAGACGCTTGAGCCGAAGTGCAGCAGCGGCTTGCAAGGTTCTGGGATTCTACTGTTTGCTTAAGAACCCAAAGAATCATAAACAAAATCCTTAAGGGTAAGATCGGGATTGTTCTCTTCATGATTTGAGGGGTTCTTAAATAAGCAACATATTACGCTAAGGTATGGGTGCACAGCCTTGCCCTTCTCCTTGAGGAGGGTTTAGGGTTTAGGGTTTAGGGTTTAGGGTTTAGGGTTCAGGGTCCTCCTGCCTCGCCAGGACAACATGGCAGCCTCAATTTTCCCAAACCCCGCGTCGCCGGTGGAGGCTTCTGCAAGCAGACCCACTAAGAGTGATCTGGGGGTTGACGAAAAGTTAGGGACTCTTAATATAGACCCCAAATTCGTAGGATTCCCTTGTAATAAGGACCCCAATGAGGTACCCCGAATTTCGGAAACCCCCATCTGTGATGAGTTCTTCACAACATGTCCGGCTTCAAGGTTCTTCCGGTATATCTGCCTGGGCAAGTGGTGGGGTTAAGTCTGTCAGGTAGCTACGGTGTTTTCACTCATCGTCAGCAGCGTCACCAGCAGCCTTGGATACATCTCTCCGAATTGAAAAAAAGCCGACATGAGGGTTTCCTTACTACCCCCGTCTATACTCCCCTCCCCCCCCCCCCCCCCCCGGTTTCCCCCTAAAATTTCCTTAGTTCGGCTGAATCCCTAAATAGCCTTACTTACCCGGGGGACCTAGGGGGGTAGTAGAGTAGAGTGGGGGGGGGGGCATAGAATATAGGGGAACCATGATCGAAGCGTCGTCTGCCTGCGTTCTGTGACTGCGTACTTGCAGGGGCGTTGCATCAGTAGGGGCTTCCCTCCTCCACTCTCCCCCCCCCCCACCCCAAAGAAATATCTGGAAGCCCTAAAACCTAAACTCTAGCCCTAAACCCTTAACCCTTTAAACCCTAAACCCGTTGAACCCTAAACCTAAACCCTGCACAGGTCTCACAATGACTTGCTGCCAAGAGGCTCGTCAGAACTGGAAATGTGGGGCGGGCAATTTTCACCAGACTGGCCGGAATAAGGAGGGGCTTCAGTTTTGTTAGGGCTTACAAGGCTTCAGGCTTAACCCTGAAACCCCACACCTAAGAACCCTAAACCCTGAACCCTAAACAAACCCTCACCATGAACTACAACTACTAGGAGGGGCAGAGCGAAACCCCGCAATCAATAAAACCAGCTTTGAGGGGGGGGGGGGGGGAGGGCGGGTG